TGTATGTATGTATGTATGTATGTATGTATGTATGTATGTATGTATGTGAATTCTTTAAATCATCGAGTGTTTTCAAATCGTCCTTGGAAAACAAGAAATCAGGTCGGCTGTAATTGCGGTGGCCAGAGAGCGCGATATCTTTCAACTTGGTTTTGATTAAGTCTAGACTTTAATTCCGATAATCTTGCCATGGCTAGCTTTGATGTCACGTCCTTGTTTACTAATATTCCACAGGACGAAACCATTGAAATAATTGCCGATCGCTTGTTTTCGAATGCCATCCGTTTTCATGATCTCACTCGCTTTAAATTCAAACAACTTTTGAATTGTGCTGTCAAAAACTGCCATCTCTTGTTCAATGGTTCCCTATATCAACAGGTAGACGGCGTAGCAATGGGCTCTCCTCTTGGGCCTCTATTTGCTAACATTTTTTTATCTTTTCATGAAACCACTTGGCTTAATAATTGCCCTACCAATTTTAATAATTGCCCTACCAATTTTAAGCCCTTACTATATCGTCGATATGTAGACGATACCTTCCTTCTATTCCGTTCTAGGGACCATATTCCTCTTTTTCTTGCATATCTCAATCGCCAACATCCTAACATTAACTTTACGTGTGGGTTAATTTTTCACAATATAGTCAAATGATATTACCCTAACGCATGATCCCAAGCTCACAGGTTCCAATAGTGTAAATAACGCGTGTTTGGCGAAATATTTAAAATACCGCGAGTGCGTAGCACGAGAGTAATGTCAATTTTGAGACTAGTAATTTCTGACATTCATTTTAAATTCAAACCTATAAAAAATTACTGTAAATAATCTTTATTTCTTCTTTATCTTCTGTATGTATGTATGTATGTATGTATGTATGTATGTATGTATGTATGTATGTATGTATGTATGTATGTATGTATGTATGTATGTATGTATGTATGTATTTAAATAAGTCTTTTGAAACAATAAATCGAATGAGCAGACTTATCCTCAGCAGAAAGACTATTCCACAGTACAGCTCCTCTATACCTAAAGCTTCTTTTAAGAAATTATTTCTTAGGTTTTAGAAGTGAGAGATCTGTATCATAATTTCTGAGATGATAGTCATTATCATTATTGCTTCGTGCAGAAAAGAATTCTCGAAGACAGTGGGCAGTATCATTATTAAGAATGTTGTATAACAGAACCACTTTATTAAATCTAAATCTGTTTTCAAGATTTTTCCAGTTAAGCCGTTCAAGGAGCTCAGAGGAGTTGGTATCATAACTTACTCCCGCCAACACCCGTGCAGCTCTATTTTGGAATCTCTGTAGTTTTTCTTTTAGTACAATTCCGCAATTATCCCACAAAGAGAGCAATAATCAAAGTATGGCAGAATTAACGCCTCATAGATGATGTGCAGGGTTTCATTGGGGACGAATGGTTTTGTTCCTTTTAAAACTCGATCCCTGCACCAACCTTTTTACAGATTGCATTAATGTGAACTTACCAACTAAGGTGTCCGATCGCTCGCATTAGTGTACCTACTTTTTGACGCCGTGTCTATTCCAATGGTTCCTGCTTTGTGCGAATCCTTCTTTTTGTCGTCACCATCTTGTAAACCTGTCGTAAACTGACCAACATAGACTTTTGGAACTACCACATTTTCACAAGGACCAACCCACGCAAATTTTCCATGGTCGAACAAACGTACCAATCCCAAATTGCAATCATACGCTGTACGATTAAATTTTGACAAACCGTCGTCCTGTTGCTCAAGAAAGTAGACTTGTGATGACACCGCGACATCACCAAGTAAATGTGCTTCTTTCCTTACACCATCGCAAACTCCCATACTAACAATAGCTTTCGGTTTAAGTTCTTGGATTGTTTCATAAACCAGAACATCATGGCCTGACGAAGTGCAGGTCTTGCTTAAGTATGGAACTTTCAAGAGCGTCACTTTATTTCTGCCTATTTTTCCAAATAAACAGTTTTTGTCACTTTCGTCTTTCTTGCTGGGTATTTCGACATTGTTTAATATTTTTTGAGCTTCGTTAAACTCCGTGTCGTCCACTGTCAGCAAAAGAACGTCGTTAAATTCTTTGAATTTGGCGTCCGACGTTGCAGCACACTGATCTAAACGAAGCAACATACAGACAAATAAAGAAACTAATACAAAAAAAATAAGATAGATACAGACAGAGGGATGCAAGATGGATTTATTTTTATTTTCCGAGACAAAAGCATCTGTAAATTGAAACCACACAAAGCTATTAGGTGCAAGCCGAGTGACGATCCATATACCAGAGAATCAGAGAAAAACTTTACTTGAGCCGGCGTTTGCCGCGACTGCGAATCGATTCCGCTAGTCAACTGATCATCGCATGTCTACACTGTACCACAGTCCCTTCAGGGGATCTGTTGGGGTCACAGAAGCGAAGCTAGATGTCGAGCGGCTTATCGGTGGGAGAACGAGCGAAATGGAAAGGGAAAAAGGCTCGGTGGACATTCTACTCATAACATGGGTACACCGCCTTGTTCAGACAACGCATGTTTTCCACTGGCTGGAAGATAAATTAATTGACAAACCCTTCATGTGGCAGAATCATGCACCGAGGATGGTTGAGACGAATGTTTCCAACAATTTCTCATTGTTTCATTGTTAAAGTGTGACCAAAAGGAAAGTGTACTTATTGTGCTGACCAGTACTGAAGTATTGGCTGTGTTTCCAATAAGATTTGAAAAGAGCATAATGCTTAAAAGTCGCTTAATCAGTGATGTCAATAAGAGGGCCGTGGCGTTTGTAATATCGCATTAAAAGCATTGCTGGAGAAGAATTGAAGGATTTTAATGACCTTGGGGTTCAGGGATTAAACTGTCCATCGACAATGGCCCGAAATCGACACGTGATGCAGAGTGCAGCATACGGTAGTATACGGTTTTGCACGATATTTATACATGATAAGCGATGCATTTTAGTAGTAATATAGGTACCGATCGACCCGGATTTTTGAGGAGGAGTGAGGAGGAGTGAGGAGTGAGGAGGAGTGAGGAGGAGGAGGAAGAGCGTCATAATTATATGCGTAGTGACGTAAAGCCGGATTTCCACTAGGCGGAATTTTGCGCGCGGAGCGGAATTTCTCTTTGTCTTGTGATTTCTCGGGTGAAACTAATTAGAAATGACAAAGAAAAATTCCGCTCCGCGCGCAAAATTCCGCCTAGTGGAAAACAGGCTTAAGGAGGAGGAGGAAGAGTGGGGGTGAGGAGGTGGTGTGAGGTGATTGTGTTTGAGGTGGTGGAGTTTGAGGTGGTGGATGTTCACCACGTCATTTATTAATTAATATTCATACAAATGAGGATGAGGAAATTAATATTCATACAATGAGGAGGAGTGAGGTGGAGTAATGACGTCACGCGGGCAGGTTTGGACGAGGACGTGTAAAACTTGCTGACTACGCATTTTTTAGCGTCCCTCCTCGTGTGCGACACAATTGTTAGGGCTATATACAAGAGAATATGTTGTTGTCTGGAGTTTTATAAGTGCAGCTATAGCATTTTGCTGTTATTGTCAAGTGATTCCTTTAATTTAGCTCCTAGAGGAGTAAAAAATCTGATACTATATGAAATAGCATTAGTGTTATATATCTAAAACTTATATATTCGGGTATACAGCTATATGTTTTGTTGTTAAGTAATATATAAATATTATCAAGCCGTAAGAGTTATTATGTATCTACAATTAAACTAATATTCGGTAAATCCCGGTCAACCATATGAGGTCTATATACGAGAGAATATGTTGCTGTCTAGAGTTATATAAACACATGGAAACACGGTTAATCGAAGGTTATGGTATATAATTGTCAAGCGATTTCTATATTTTAGTGCTAGTTTTGTAAAGTACTAAAACTCGGATAAGGTTAATAAATTTAAGCTATATTAAAGCACACCGGTTGCTATGTGTTGTTAAGGTGAAACTATTTAAAGATTTAACTTTTATCAGAGATTTGCATTTTTCTACTGTGTGGATAAATACGGGTAGATTAGGATATTCATTGCGCTGGCGTCGCGGGTTATCCGTGCGGGAAGAGAGAAAGCAATTTAGGCAAGATAGGAGCGCTTTGCAGCCAAAAGTTTACACAAGAATTCAGTCTTAAAATACATTTATTTCTTCGAGACGTTTACAAAGTTAATGTGGTCTACTTCTTAGAGCATAATGTGTTTGATTTTATTTAAATTACGCAGAACAATTGATATTTTTTTTTGTAATAAGAGTCGTTTGGTTTAATTGTTCATTCGCCATGGTTTCTTTAACAAAGGTTCGGACAGTTGGCTCGTCTTCGTGCAGATTCACCCACTTCATACGACCCGATTGGTTCATTATTTTGACAGGCCAACAATTTTCTCCGCCGGTCTAGACACCCGGATGGCTAGGATTAAAAATATTGCGCGCGCGATGACTTATACATCTCTGTGATAACATATCGTTCGGGAATGTTACGGACCACCAGTGCTTCCTTGGTGTAGTTTTGCCATTCAGAGATAGTTGCATCCGACCAGGTAATGTGCCTCTGATGTTTAGGTTGTTTCCTTCTAGGTTTGGTTTTGACCTGTGTGGGCTCGATACTAGTACTGTTCACTTTAGTTTGGGTGGCGAAGAGATAGACACGGCAGTCGCCAAACAGGTCCCCATGAACTTGCTTATCTGCTGGTGTATCAGGCTTGTTATCCACCAACAAGTATCCAAACGGTTTTTTAGTCTCTTTGTAATTGGCGTTCATAAAGTGGACTCTATCCTTATCAAACATTCGTTCTCCAACAATTCCAATTTGTTTCCTATCACTAGGACTTCGGAAGAGAGCAAGATATTGGGCATTTCGGCTAATATCTGTATTGAATTTCCCCTTAGGAAACATGTTCTGAAGCAAAAGGATAACACTAGCGTTTCTATGACGTCCCTGGGTAAATAATCGAGCTACCGCAGGACTATCTGTCGCTTCGGCCATCAAATCATCCAGTATGATTACGTTGTTGTAACGGGTATTAATCTCACTCAGATCCTCGGACAACTCGGGCAAACCTCTTTGAAATCGGATGCTTTTCCCAAGGGACTTTTTTAACTCATCGTAACGATCTTGCCATTGATTGTAGCACCAATGAATGCGAATACTTCTCTGCTCCTCGTACACGATACGATTGTTTTCCAATATTTGTTGGATGGCTCCTAACTCCTATACTCCTGGCCCTACATCGACCCTACATCGACCCTACATCGACCCCACATCGACCCCACATCGACCCTACATCGACCCTACATCGACCCTACATCGACCCTACATCGACCCTACATCGACCCTACATCGACCCTACATCGACCCTACATCGACCCTACATCGACCCTACATCGACCCTACATCGGCCGTACATCGACCCTACGTCACACCCACATGTCGCCGTAAAAAATATATATATAAATGTTTTCAAACCATTTATTCTCGGTCATTTATGATTGAACTTTCAAAGTGTCAACATGCCCTATAAGCACAAAAGAGATTGTCCTCTCTGTAACAAGCCTTGTCTTCTATATATAAGTGATCATTTGCGCCAAGTACATAACTTATACGGAGATCAAAGGAAAAAGTGGTTAGGAAGGGCGAGGTTCTCAGCACCGCATAGCCACAACTCAAGTTTGCTGCCCATACGACCGGCACATATACTAAAAGAAATGAAATGTGTTCGAAAGAAAACAAGGTCTGTACTAAAACCAACAAAAACCGCACCGAAAGTTACATCATCTTTGACCACCAAACCCTATCCAGAATTCAACTTCCGCCATAAATTTTCGCTAATGGTCGTGGGTCCGAGCCAAAGTGGGAAAACTTATTTTGTCCAACAAATATTGGAAAACAATCGTATCGTGTACGAGGAGCAGAGAAGTATTCGCATTCATTGGTGCTACAATCAATGGCAAGATCGTTATGATGAGTTAAAAAAGTCCCTTGGGAAAAGCATCCGATTTCAAAGAGGTTTGCCCGAGTTGTCCGAGGATCTGAGTGAGATTAATACCCGTTACAACAACGTAATCATACTGGATGATTTGATGGCCGAAGCGACAGACAGTCCTGCGGTAGCTCGATTATTTACCCAGGGACGTCATAGAAACGCTAGTGTTATCCTTTTGCTTCAGAACATGTTTCCTAAGGGGAAATTCAATACAGATATTAGCCGAAATGCCCAATATCTTGCTCTCTTCCGAAGTCCTAGTGATAGGAAACAAATTGGAATTGTTGGAGAACGAATGTTTGATAAGAATAGAGTCCACTTTATGAACGCCTATTACAAAGAGACTGAAAGACCGTTTGGATACTTGTTGGTGGATAACAAGCCTGATACACCAGCAGATAAGCAAGTTCTTGGGGACCTGTTTGGCGACTGCCGCGTTTATCTCTTCGCCACCCAAACTAAAGTGAACAGTACTAGTGTCGAGCCCACACCGGTCGAAACCAAACCTAGAAGGAAACAACCTAAACATCAGAGGCATATTACCTGGTCGGATGCAACTATCTCCGAATGGCAAAACTACACCAAGGAAGCACAGGTGGTCCGAAACATTCCCGAAGGATATGTTATCACAGAGATGTATAAGTCATCGCGCAATATTTTTAATCCTAGCCATCCAGGTGTCTACATCGGCGGAGAAAATTATTGGCCTGTCAAAATAATGAACCAATCGGGTCGTATGAAGTGGGTGAATCTGCACGAAGACGAGCCAACGGTCCGAAGTTTTGTTAAAGAAACCATAGCGAATGAACAATTAAACCAAACGACTCTGATTACAAAAAACATTTAAATTGTTCTGCGTAATTTAAATAAAATCAAACACATTATGCTCTAAGAAGTAGACCACATTAACTTTGTAAACGTCTCGAAGAAATAAATGTATTTTAAGACTGAATTCTTGTGTAAACTTTTGGCTGCAAAGCGCTCCTGTCTTGTCTAAATCGCTTTCTCTCTTCCCGCACGGATAACCCGCGACGCCCGCGCAATGAATATCCTAATCTACCCGTATTTATCCACACAGTAGAAAAATGCAAATCTCTGATAAAAGTTAATCCTTTAATTAGTGTCACCCTAACAACACATAGCAACCGGTGTGCTTTAATATAGCTTAAATTTATTAACCTTATCCGAGTTTTAGTACTTTAAAAAACTAGCAATAAAATATAGAAATCGCTTGAAAATTATATATCATAATCTCTAATTTCCATGTGTTTATATAACTCTAAACAGCAACATATTCTCTCGTATATAGACCTCATATGGCAGACCGGGATTTAAATATTAGTTTAATTGTAGATACATAACTCTTACCGCATGCTATTTCTCAGCGTTTTGACGCTTGATAATATATGACTTAACAACAAAACATATAGCTGTATACCCCGAATATATAAGTTTTAGATATATAACACTAATGCTATTACTCAGCGTTTTGACAATAACAGCAAAATGCCAGAGCTGTACTTATAAAACTCCAGACAACAACATATTCTCTTGTGTATAGCTACCTGTTACGTTTGGCCCAGGCCGGTCCGCGTTAATTTGTCGCGCTACCTGTCACAGTTGGCCCAGGCCTGCCCGCGTTAATTGGTCGCGCTACCCGTCACAGCTGGCCCAGACTTGTCCGCGTTAATTGGTCGCGCTACCTGGCCCAGGGTTAGGGTTAGGGCCAGCAAAGTTGCGTCACATATTTTGCATACTAATTACTTTCGGAGCAATGTGACGTCATTGGCGGCATCCCTTTGTACTCCAGAGTGGGGTCCTTCACTACTTGTGTCAGTGAAGGTAGCGACGATAACAAGACAACTGTGGATTGAGAGGGATATACAACTACCTGAAAAATACAAGCAGAACTTCGATGTTGTATCCTTTTGTATCCCACTTAATCCACAGCTTTCTCATTAAAGCTTAAGTCTGTTTTTTAATTCACCATATCGTCACGTACTGTAGAGCATTTTCTTTTTTGTTGAACTCATTTGTTATTCAGAATAACAAAAATATACAGCTACGTTTTGGCACGATATACAGTTAAAGTGAAAAACATGTTTTAGTTTTAAAATATTGAAAGAGACATTTTAACCCGACTCAGTTGGATGCGCATAGTATAGTTACGCCAAACTGGCTTATTGGAATTTAGTGAAAAATATTGTAATAACTTGGCTTTGCCAGTTTGGGCAAAAGTCAACTGAGAAGTTTTGATGAAGCTTTAAAGACTTGGATACACATACGGATTTGACTTAAAAACATTGTACTGTAAAATCACAAGAAATATTTTGACCATCTCGAAAGACTGTGAGTGATATACCCGAACAAAGGCTGTAATGTTGTTATCGTTGAAAGTATATACGTCGGATTTGACGAACAGTTGCTGTATATGTTACCATTTCATCACTAATGATAATGTATGGCATATATTTGTTGGTGATTCAGCTGGATCTGAATGTTTCTGATCATAATGTAACTGATATTAGGGAATAATGGTAATAGGGTCTTCCACAAGCTAGTTGCAGTTCGATTATGTTGAAATATCGATGATTAGCGTGATATACCATCAATGAACATGGTTACTTAAATACATCGTACTGTAAAGTCAAAAGAAAATTGACGAGCACGTCGAAAGATCGTGAGTTGTATAACAAAAATCGTGTAGTGTTTATATGGTTGAAACTCTACGCCTTTAGGAACAGTTCCTGTATCGTGCCATTATTATACAACGGTTGAATGACTAAAAAACTAAAGGATTTCAAACTCCTGATCACAATGTGACTGATATACGGGAATAATGGCAAAGCAATTTGCGACAAGCTAGTTTCAGTTGGTACATTTGGAAAAATCGATGATTTGTAAAAGACAAACAATATAAGCATAACTTGAAAACATTGTATTGGAAAGCTGAAAGTAATGTCAACACCATCTCGAAAGACCGTGAGTCGTTCGCGTGGACAAAAATTGTGGAGTGTTCTCATGAAAGTATTCCCATTTTTCAAACCGTCGTTGTATTCCACGCTCGGATGTACGTACCACTTATGATGTGTACAGCATATAATGCGTGATATCAGTATTTGTTGAAGATATATTCATGTGGATTTTATGATTATAATCCTGATCGCAATGTACCGCATCTATGAGGAATGGTAATGTTAACTTTCAAGAAGCTATGGTAGTTGGTATACACTGACACAATACGGCTGATTTGTTGAACACAAGCAATGCCCAATATATTTATTATTAAAATGAAGTGATTTTTATGGAAGGATTAAAAACAATACGGAGTTGGCGAATGGTAGTAATGAAATGGACAAATGGTCGGTGGTCCAACTACTAGAAACTAAATTTGAGAATTATGGTGAAAATGTGCAAGGATTCCGTTGAAGAAACTTTCGTACCGAAAAACAAAATTGAGAACATCCAAAGAACCAGTTGAATCTCGTATTAAGCTTGGAGAAAAGCTTTAATGATTCTGGACTTTGTGTGGTCTTACTTACAATGCCGGTTCTGGACTTGTTCGGTCTTATACTTGGTGATCTTGAGACTAGTAAGGATTTGGTCTTCTCTAATATAAAGCAATCAACGGTATTGATCATGTGGTTAAAACGTGGAACATATAGCGCTGGTTATTGGGTCGTGCTGGTACTTTGTTTGCCTTTGTTGGAGAACAAAGAAAACTGAACAATTAATCACCTTTAAATACAAATTAGTTCTAGTATAATTATATTGTTTGTATAGATAATAATAATTATTGTTGTATATAGTTTCTTCAAGAATATGAATAATAGATAATGATTGTAATAATATATTCAGTCGTAGCCATGTTGTTTTTGCGGGAAGTATTGGAAAGTATCATGCAAACGGGTGCTTAGGCTTAGAATAATAAGGAAGACCACCGAGAGATATTTCGGGGATCAGGACAATATCTTTCATGGGACTCGTAAGTATAACAACACAATTTTAGAACATCAGAAGCGGCGGTAAGTTTGGCAGTACTTCTCTAGAGAGACTCATAACTGGGCATAAATAGCCTCCCCAATCCAACATGCATGCCCAGCCCATTTCTGCCTTTCTCTCAAATTGGGGTTCCTAAACTCATGTTGGTACAACCAGTGCAAATAACCCTGTACCCTAGGACTCTGTGATCTAACCTGAGTATCAGGCTCTATTTTACAAATAGAGCCTGACACAAAACTTAACCTGATCGCTTTCCGCCCACAGCAAAGTTTATATTTAGTATCCAATCAAAATGTCACAAGAGAAATTTAAATTTCACACAACGACAACAACAATCTAATTATAGCATAGGCGCTCACTAAACGGCTGAATTTAAATTAAAACTGCAATGAACTTATAAAATTAACAAAAATAATCACAAATTAGCGAAATATATTGCAAATGTA